ATATATAGCTAGCATTTGACAAAGGAGAACTTCCCTAATCTCTTACAGGTCAGTGCTGGATTCAGCTAAAAACTCCTGCAACCGACGAAGCTGTAATTGTTTTTATTTGTTAAAATTGATTAATGACATGCACAGTGTCTAGCGTTAACAGTATGTTGTAGTGAGGATGTAAAGAAGGATGTACACAACAGGAAATGCTGTTTAGCACCGTTAACAATTTAGCTACAAATTCATTTTGATTCGAAAAGTTCATTTGATTCAACTAAACCACTTCAAATGCATTGTGTAGAGTAAAAACTCAAATAAATACATTATTTAAAGAGTTCTGGTTAAAACACACTGCAGTTAAAATCTGCAGTTCAAATGTTTTTTTTTGTGTTACTTTAACTTGTTTCAATAAGTTAATCAGGTTTTACCAATATATATTTTTTTTAAAGTTTTACAAATATTAACTTCTTATTTGTAGTCAGTTTGATTGATGCAAGTTGAAATGATTAAGAACGTTATTTTGAATCAACCAAAATAAATACCCAGCAATTTTATTTATTTATTTGTTTTGTTTTCACAGTGCAGGACATAATCTGAAATCTTCTGTCAGAACTTGATCACAGGAGAGAACATTAAGTTAAACAATTTTTTGCAGGAAGATCACAAAAGCTGGCATGGTTTTATTCAGATACAACAGAGCCAGAAACAGGACGGTCAGTACACCACTATAGTCCCTCCATAAAAGAGCTGCTGAGGGTAATGAGTGGCGTTTGAGGAAATAAAGAGCTGATTTGAACACAGACGTCAGTGAAGAGAGACAGACAGCAGAGCCTGCACTGCAGATGCTGGAGGCCAAAGCACAGACACACCACACCATTAATCACACTCACACACACACACACACACACACACACACACACACACACACACACACACACACACACACACACACACACACACACACACGCACACACACGCATACACAGAAATACAACAACAGAGAAGAGAAGGTGAAGAGCAAGCAGGCAAACGGCCAGACAAGCACTCAAACAGATACTTACAGTCGTACACACTTACAGCAGCAGAACACACACACACACACACACACACACACACACACACACACACACACACACTCTTCTAACTGAGTTCATGCCTCTCGTCACCTCAAAAACTGTTCTCGCTCTGTTTGTCTGCATTCAATGCTTTACCGATTATTTCAGTGCAGATTTGCAAGAGTAAAGAAGAAAATCACATGGATAAATAATGGAAAATTTTCTTATGTTATGCTTTACATATGGCTAGTTAACAAATGTATGTAGTGTACTTTGAAAAAATATATAATAAATTAGTCATTGCCTTAAATTTAATTTTACAAGTCGTGTCAACGTGCATCAATTAAACGGACCTAAATTAAGTTATTAAATTGAGTGCATAATTCAAATAGCTAAGTTGAAATCTGATTAGTTTACTATAATTGAAGCAACTAAAAACATTGTATTTATGATCAAAAAGTCATGACAGTAAGAGTTCAAGGAAATCGAACGACTAAATAACTAAAGGGGTGGTCTAATATCATATTTTAGACTTAAGCTGATGTGGAATAATGCTGTGCGAACATAAACAACATCTCCGAATTTAAGATGCTCAAAGTTAAATGAAAAGGGAGACATTGGCTTTTACAGAGTTAGATTAGCAAAGACTACAGTGAACGAATTTGGGGACTACAAAAAAAATACATCCGCGCTCTAAAGGGACGTGGACAGAGGCGCTGTAATCTTATAGCAGAAAAAGCGAAAATGGTGTATTTGGGCTTCCAAGAAACATGGCACAAAGACAGAAGTGCTTACAGGCGCCTACAGTTTAATTTAAATTATGTTTCAGTGAATTATAATATATAGCTAGCATTTGACAAAGGAGAACTTCCATAATCTCTTCCAGTTCAGTGCAGGATTCAGCTAAAAACTCCTGCAACAGACGAAGCTGTAAGTGTTTTTATTTGTCAAAATTGACTAATTACATGCACAGTGTCTAGCGTTAACGGTATGTTGTAGTGAGGATGTAAAGAAGGATGTACACAACAGAAAATGCTGTTTTGCACCGTTAACAATTTAGCTACAAATTAATTTTTATCAGTCAAACCGCTGTATACACCCACAGTATTCAGCAACACTGCAGTGTCTCTCTATGTGGACGCTTTAAGTGTCTCTCTATGCAGCAGATTTCCCTGCATTCTACATCTCAAATGATAAACTCACAAAAGAAATGTGAACGTTTTATATTACTTACTCATGCTTAGAACCTAAATATATGTGAAAGAAACTCATCAGATTTCATTTTAGAGAGCAGGCGCGAGGTTCAGCTGTGTGCTCTTCATTTTTCTGTCTGATTCATCTGATACGGCTAACAGCTACTGTTACACACTCATACACTACGAACAATTTAGCATGCCCAATCACCTATAATGCATGTGTTTGGACTGTTGGGGAAACCAGAGCACCCGGATGGAACCCACACGAACAAAACATGCAGACTCCTTACAGAAATGCCAACTGACCCAGCTGAGGCTCGAACCAGCGGCCTTCTTGCTGTGAGGCGATCGTGCTACCTACTGCACAACCGTGATGTCCTCAATTAAATACTAGATGCATACAATGTGACCCTTAAGGAACTGCAAACATACATGCATGATCTTCACTACTGAAATGATTAATAAAATAGGTCCAAAGGGGTTTGTTGGAGCCAAAGAAAAACAGAAAGGAAAAAATTTGCTGTCTCTATGTGCATTTGGACTAAATAGGATTTTTTTAAATATTTTTTGCGTAATATACAATCTTTAAAAAAAAAAACAAAGGTGAAACCCCTGGCAAGACCATAAACAAAATGATAGGATGTTTCAAACATGGGCAAACATTAGGTGAAGTGGAAGCTAAATCAGTCAAAACCTCCACCCAGGAAGCTCCAAGGACAAATCACAGTTTGATTCTAAAGTCTGGAGTCATTATAGTTAGCTTTGCTTGAGCCATTGAAGCCTGGAGTCGTTATATTTAGCTTCATATAGAAACAATGCAAGCCTATGGTGCAGCATGTGCTCATTAACATTGATTATAGCGTGTGTGTGTGTGTGTGTGTGTGTGTGTGTGTGTGTGTATGTGTGGCAGATGGTTTCTCATCCATCTGCTCTCTCTCTCAGACACACCCTGAGACACATCAGTACACAACAGAAACTAT